TCCTCCCTTGACATGGTCTTTTATTTTCCTCTCCTCATTGCAGCTGAGCACAAGTAGTTAATTTTCTGTTGAAACTTTCCGTAAACGGTAATATGCCCCATTGTAGACCACCCACATGCTTTCTTTCACTGCCTGTTGAGCCCAGTCTTCAGTGGAGTAAAGGCTAGCACGTGAGTCCTCTGCACTGGGTTGAATTTCAGCCCTTGGGAATAGAGTTGTTGTGTATGAATAAAAGAGGAAGACGTCACTCCCTGGCTGCTTTTAAAGCTTCCTGAAATAGCTGCAGGTCTTAGCTAGAATTAACGTGACTGGAATTTCCATGGAAAGCCCCAGCACAGACTCTGTGTGCTCTCTAAAATTTAGTTACAGTAAAAATCTTTTCTGGTCCCTCCCACATTCCCACAACTCCACCTTCTGGTAGGTAAAGTCTTGCTCTCTGGATAAGAGGAGAGAGCAAACCCCTTTCATTCAGCAGAGAGTGGTTTGGAAACAGAGCCAGAGCTTATTAGTATTCAAATATAATAACATTTGAAAAATAAAGAGTAAATGAACAACGTGAATTTAAGCTGCCTATGCAGTTATATTGCTCATCAGTTTTGGTGTCACAGCCTTTTGACCACTGAGTCTGTAAAAGATTCATTGTTCTTCATTTCTGTGCCTAGACCCGACAGTTCATGCAGTTAAAAGTTGGCTGGAATTTCTAGATGCCCTTGGAGGGGAGGGAAAACGACTGTAATGGCTGACCCTTGCGGGGTGGGGTGGGTGTTTTTTTAACCCCTTCAGCATTTCTGAAAATTGCTCTTCCCTGGGTAATGCTGGGTGTAATAACGTGGGAACACATTCATTGCTCTTCATTCTCCAAAAGACAATGAAGATCACACCAGGGCTGAATGTAATTCTTTGCTTTTGGAAGGAGCTCTCTTTCTCTCCTGGAGGAAGGAGAGCTAGAATATATACATGAAAAGAGAAAGTAAGTGATTAGTGGTTTGTGTATACAAAATGTGCCTTAGTTCTAGTTTTCCTTGTTTTCTGTTTTATTTGCTTTTGCTTAGATAGATGTTCATCTGTAATATTTGAAGTATAGGAACATTAGCCAGGCTATGTTTGTAGATAGGTAATTTAATTGTTGAAGTTAAGGGGAAATTTACACATTAATCTTGAGTACCCTTGACCCTGGCTTGCCTTAGTCAGTAAGTTCTGTAAAGGAGAGGACCCTCTGAGGCAACTGTAGAGAGACCGCAGGGAAGTCATTAACTTCTTTCCTCCACCACACTTCGGTGGCAGAAGGGACGTAAAGATACAGCCCATCAAGTCTAGACACAATGGGCCCAATTCATCCCCAGCATAACTCCATTCATTTTGTCTAGTGACTCTGGGATGAATTCGGCTCATTTTCTGTTAATACTGTTTTTGTTTCATCAACAAAAGTGATTGTACTGCTGTGTGATTACGATCTTTCCCAAAGAGTACCATGTTCATACGAGTGCTGACTAAAAGCAAATATAACGTCTATGGGAGTTGGTGGGAAAAAAATCCTTCCTAATGAAGTGACTGCTGTCAAGGTCTCTGACTTTTGTACAGAACTCTGAAAAACCCCTGGATGGCTTTTGAGTGAAAAAAAGAGAGAGTTGTAAAACATAAATCATATTGCGTAGTTCTCTTCTGAGTCAGCAAATGTAAACACAGATACCAAATGCACTAAACAAGAATGTAGGCCTGGTTCAAACGCGGCCTGAAAATTGTTAAATTTTATCTGTTTGAATTGTTTCTTTGCTGAGAGATCATGTTAACTAATAGGTATATAAACACAATTCCTAAATTCCCATTTTTTCTCCCCCTTCGCTTAGTAAAGAGTGCTTCACAGTGGAGTCTTGAAATCGAGTCTATTTTTGATGTAGTCAGCTCCAAGCCAATTGCGGGTCTTGTGACTGTGAGCATTCCCAAATTGCAAACCCAGCAAACATCCAGTGTGAAGCTTCAACCTGGAGAAGGCAGCGTTGTGCTGCTTGTAAACATCAACAAGGTAAGGAGGTGTGTGTGGAACCCTAGCCAACTGCAAAATGTTTCCCCTGGTTTCCAATGTGTCTTTCTGCCTCCATGCCAGTTTTAGGCCTCCCTCCCCTTCCTTTCTGTGTTCCTGACTTTAGCAACAGATCTGTACCCCTTACAGGATAGGAGAACACTTCTTTCCCTCTCTAAAAACTGATGTCTGTGGGGCTATGTAGCTCAGTGTCAAAAAGATGATGAAGCCTTTCCCTTACTGCAAAAGAAAAAGATCATATCATCACTGGCCACCTTTAAATGAGCTACTAGGTAGATAACCTTTGGATACCCTGTGTCACTTCACTTAACTGGCAGCAGGTATCTTGTCTCCCGTGCTATTGTTTACTGGTCTGATTGGGACTAGAATGTACTACAATATGCATGGCTCTCCCAGGGAAGGGAGGAAACATTCCTCAAACCTCTCAGTAGATACTCTTTCAGGTAAATAAAAGCAAAAGAGCCCTATAAAGAACTTGACTGGCAGTAAGGTTGGTAGAAATTTTGTGGAGTAGTACTTCCTTATGTTGGCTTATAGTCCCTTGGGTAGACAAAAATCATGAGGAATTTAAGAGAGGTAAAGGATGCTCTAATGAGGAGAGAACTCAACTGAAAAATGATGAATTTGGTATATACCCCAGTGATGAAAGAGGAAAGAATTGGTCTGCTTACCTTTAGAGGGTGTTGGGAAGCTGGTGGCAGACTTAATTCACCAACATTATTTCACTTCTATAGAATTTGTTTTGTTTGTGGTTTTTTTAGAAACTGTTGAGTTCTGTCACACAGGTGTAATTAAGAAAAGATATATAGACTTGAGAGATGAAGAAAATCAGTGTGTCTGTTCTAGTTGACAAATAGGTAGGTGTCTTGAATTAGGCAGTGAGCCCAGTGTGGCAAAAAGAAGCGTGAACTTTGTCTTGGCTTCTTGTTCAGAGAGCAGGGCCCGAGCAGAGCTGATTGTGCAGAACTGAACCTGACAGTGGCAGGCCCAGGCCAGTGGGCAGGGTGGGAGTCCTGGCAGGCGCAGTGGCAGCCGCAGCTGATGGTGTTCTCCACTGGAGCCAACAGTGTAATGGGAGCTGCCGTCTGCTTTGCTGCCACAGGGCACAGTTAGATTTGTGGGTGAGCAATGTGCTGTGAGCAGGAATTTGGGGCTTTGGACAATTCTGGCAGTTAATAACGTTTGACGGTCTGCCCTCAAACTTTTGTATATTTTACTGGCTCTACCGATTTTCTCTATTGCTGTGTAACTCTGCATTGGTTCCCCCAGTTTGAATGCATTATGCGTGCATTCTGAAGTTCTCTTATCAGTTGTTTGAGTGGAGAAAAAGCATGCGTTAAAGGCAAGCAGGTTATTTATGTTCTAGTATGCACACTCAGTGACTTGCATACTTATGTGCTTTGTTTTATTTTGACATGAAAGCATAAAAGCATACAAACATATGATTTTTGTTACTGTTGTCATTGACATGCCAGTTGCATGAGCAATTACAAATACCCAGTTTCATTTAAAACAATCATTAGTCTCTGCTTAGCCTTTTCAGGGATTGCATTAAGCAGGCACTGCAATGTGAAACTTCAAAAATTATTTTGGTTTATTTAATTGCCCCACCCCCAACCTGAGAAGAAATCTGTTAGTGGAGTATGACTACAAGTTCATGAGGAAGCACTTCCTTCAGAGCAGAGGCAACAGTGTTTTATTATTCTTTGTACACAAAAGGCTTTGCTGCGTGAATTCACATCAGCTGATTTTACGAGAAGCCCTGCAATGTTTTCTCATGTATCGATGAGCCTAACGGAACCCTTACTCTGTACGAGAGACGTGTGGTGCATGTTAAATAGTGAGACCTCACCAGAAATTTTTTTCTAGCTGAGAGCTTATTGCAGATTATATTGCGAAGTCAGTAGATGTTTGAGTGGTGCCTATCACCCAAGATGTGTAGCAGTCTTCCTGCAATTGCCACACAAAGTGCTGTGTTGCTAACATGACAGCATTTTGCTTATCAGCTACTGGTGAGCATGGGGATGACATCATTAGTGGCCAATGAGACACTCCAGCCGTGCCAGGCGGCTACAAACACTCTCTTGTTGTTGAAGCACACGCTGATTTTGTGCTTCCATTTGTATCCGTGCAACACAGAGATTAGTACTTCTGCACAAGCAGTTACGATAATTCCATATCGGGGAAGCTGAAAAGTTAGTAGATACATTCACGATTGTGTCCAAGTATGGCTACAGCAAAACATATTGTTGGGCTGCTCTCTGGCCTCATTTTATTTGAAAAGATTGAGGCACTCCTTACATGACTCTATTCAGTGCTGATCCCTCCATTGTTTGGTTGCATGCATTATTGCTTTCTTTCCACGATTTTTGTGTTGTGCACTCAACTGGCAAATGTTGGCAATAGGATTGAGCAGCAGAAGTAGGCTGCTGGAGTGAAGATACAAATAGTACTCTGTGACTAGTAAAATGAGAAAATTAAATTGTTATCATCCTAGAGGTAGTTTTTTTATGTTTGTAAAAATTATGGAGAACTAATGACGTGATTAGGAAGCATAGAGAAAAAGCAGAAAACATTGAAAAGAAAGAATGAAACTTATAATTTGACCTAAAAGCTTGACATAAGTGAAGCAGTCAGTATGGTCACATATTACCAAAGTCACAACTGAAAAGTGTCACCTCTGTATATTGAATGTTGTATGTGATAGGTAAAAGGGTCAATGAAGGGAGGGGTATGATACAGAGGCTAGTGAACAATGTCTACTCCTGACACAGATATTTGAGTTTTGGAGGAATATTCTGTCAGTGTACCTCAGCTGAGGGGTAGCAGCTAGACGTACACATGCATGTGTATGCATGCTCATGGCTTATTGTAGACACAAGATGAAGTGATAGCCTGGACTTCAGTGGAAGAAATCATACTTCTCTCTAAATAATTTTCACCTCAGAGCTGCAGCTGGGGAGATCCCAGTTACCATGGCTCAGCTGAGGCACATAAACTCATTAGACTTGTGGTAATTCACTCAAAGATATCTGAGCCCCTAGGTGCATGTTATGTCTCTTTTTATACACATTGCTCTGACTTTCTGTCTTGTATGTTCAAGAGTTCTACAGTGGAGGCTTGGTGGCCAAATGGACATGGAAAGCAAACTGGTTACAATATGACAACAACTTTCATCATGGAGGCAGGGTACCAGATTGAGAAATTTTCAAAGGTAAGCCCTTCAGCTTCATTACAGCTGGCATTGCACTGCTACTGTTAGGACATCTGCTCTGCATAGCAAGTATCTAGAGCTCTTAAATATTTTGCTGGATTGTAATATGTATGTGAAAATGCTAACGAGAAACAAGAATTTTTCTAATGTCACAATGTATGTTTACCTATTTTCTGGTAGCCTTAGCTTGTATGGACGCCTTTACGTGCATTCAGACTGAAAGATGGCTTGCAGTTAGTTGGAAACCTCAGAAAGGAAAAGATGTTTACTTCTTAAGTTTTCTACCTTATGAAAAAAAGCACTTTTAAACTTGATATATCATGCTGCTGGTTTTGTATCATGCACTGAAAAACCCTTTTAGATTTCTATAGATTATGTGAAGATTTATTACTGAGATTTTTTCTTGTTAGTTCAACTTCTAAAAAATTTGTGGGAGATAGATGCATTCCTAAAAAGCTAACATACATTCACTTATTAGAATGTGATAGATGTGCTTCAGGTTTAAGAAGAGGTAACATCTTAAATATGACCATGAAAGTAATATTCAGGGATGTTTGCATAAGGGTTCCTGCAACACACTGGCTGTATAAATTACCTGTTTGTTTTTACTAAGAAGCCTAGAAGAGGTAATTTTCAATTGTCCATTGAAAAAAAAAAAATCATACAAATTATACTGGGCTCCTTATGCCATCAACATGTGGAAAACAACCAAGTAAATTTATACATTTATTAGGTGGTTCTGATGTGTATTGCTTCACTAAACTAATCTGGTCACCAGGCATCTAAAACTGCTATTTGCTGTAACATTTGTTCATGTGAAAAAATCCTATGAAAAGCAGTAGCTCTGGAGTCCTAGTCTTTATAGGGCTAGCCCTTAGCTTGATTATGAACTCATAATAATAATTCTTTGCTATTATTAGCAATTTAATTTTGAAACAATTAAAAAACCACACCAAATAAACGCAGCATATTTTGCTTGGAAAAACTGGTTGTAGGAAATATGGCTATAAAGCCTGTAAAAAGGAAAATTCTGTTGTTACTGTATGAAAACTGCACAATGATAGAAAAACTAATTGATTCCACTTGGGTGGTTGCGTCAGGATATTTCATAGAGCCCTGTGGCATATGATCATAGGGACTTCATGGTCTACAGAAGATATGCAGAAGCCTCTTCTTTTTTTTCTCCTTAAGGGGAAAGAGGGGGGAAAAAAGTAAATGCACCACATAGTGGGCATTATAAATTAACCAGCATATGAAGCCTTTACAGATTCATAGTGTAAAGTCTAGTCTTCCTTCATGTGTTCTGTGAAGCTCTGTTTTAGATTCTGACAGACATGCGCACCCCACCCCCCCGCCCCGCCCTGAGCTGTACGAGTGGAAAAAGGCTCCATATGCAGTTTTTTCATGTTCTAGCACAATTTGCTCTCATGTCAGCAGGACTGAATAGCAACATTCGTATGGCTTAATAAGAACTTTGAGTAGTTCAGGAGATACAGTCAGGGACAAATGTTCCTGAAAGTTGTTGTTCTGTTGTCCAACTAGTACTGTATTCAGGTGGAATACATGTCCTGCTTTCCCCCACCCATCTCCCCATGCTTTTTAAAAAAGAAAAAAATAGAGGTGGGACACTTCACAAGTGGTTTGTCTCCATATGAGTGTCTACATGACTTTGGACAGGCGAAAACTCAAGGGCAAGAACAGCGTATGTGAGAAAACACAGCTTGGTCTTATGTCGGATACAGCCACCCTTAGCTTGAACTACTCTCTGGTTTCTGACATGTTAGAGTAGTCTCCAAAACATTAACTAATCCTTTGGGAAAACTTCTGGGTAGCCTCCCAGTAGGTACTTGCGGGAGCTCTAGAGAGCTCTAGCCAGCTTTGCTGGAACCTTGTTGACTGAGGGAAGTACATACTCACTCCTGTTGAGAGTAGCAGAAAAACAAAACAGAATAAAGCCAACATCCAGGACAGGGCTGGTTTTGGTTTTGTTTTGGTTTTTTATTTGAATACGTTGGTTTAGAGTTTGTTTCTCAGGTGAATGTGAAACAAAGTCATAGCCAGAAATTATCTCGGAATGAAATTGTTTTTCTTGAGGGAGAGTCTGTCCAGTCCTGTTCGCTATTGATAGGTTCCTTTTCTTCTTGCCATGCCTATGTCAAGGAATTTATTACCTCTTTCATTGCCTCATGAGGCATTTGTTTGCTTTTTGATTCTGTTTCCCCATCTTTCTGTATGCTTATTTCTTCAACACTGTAATCAGAGTTTTTTGTCTCATGAGGCTATTTTAGTACTTGGAAGACCTTAACCTCTAGTTGTCTTTCCTTCCTTCCCTCTACACCCTCTTTTCCCCACAGGCCTTTTAGCATGACTTCCGGAAGTCTTTCCTTTTGGCTTCGTAGTTTTCACAGCGCTTTCATGCTGTGTGCTAATTTGTTAGGTCACTGGGGCGTTCTGTGATCTTATTTCAGCTCTGGGCATCTTCATCCCTATTACTTTTCCTACTGCTAAATCTGGGAGTGCCAAATGTGATCCACAGGTCACTTAACTGGGTACAAAGCCTTTGTGTGTGACTCAAAAAGACAAGTGTCTGTTTCTTAATTGTACACAGAACCAGCTGATTAGTCTGTGATGGCTAGAGAGCCTCTTCTGTGTGCTCCAAAACTGGAAGAAATGTTCAGTCTTCAGGCAGCAAGGTCCATCAGACAGACTTCAAGGTGGCCAAGGTCTTGGTAGCCAGAAAGGCGCATAACTAACCATGCCAGATGCTAGTTGTCTCCCCTTGCCCTTCTTTTACCCCACAAGGCAGAAGGAAGCTGCTGTAGGAACAGGAAGAGGTGCTGTGTTACCAGGTGGGCCCCTGGGGAGCAATGGAGTGGCAACACAAAGGCACCGAAACCTGGAGGCCTGGAAATGTGAGATGGGGCTGAGGAGCTTTTCCTCTTGCTCCTGCTGTATGGGTGGTCCGTGCTGGGTGTTTCTGCCTCTCAGGTTGCCTTGGGTTTGGCCAGTTGCACGAGTTCCACTTGAGCATGAATAAAGCAATATCACGTTACTTCTGTTAGTAATATAAATACTCCATTACAAATGCACTCTGAGACAGTCCCAACCTGCCTGATGACATCCATTAAGAGGACCTCCCAAGTACTTTGGGAGCCCCAACTACAAATCCCATTCCATTTTGTGCCACAAAAAAGAGCTACACTGGAGACTGAGGAGTTTTTCTCCAAGTAATTGAATTCAGTGGAGGAAGGTCAGAACTTTTTCGCTAGTGTAGTACTCATAATGTAGTTTTTCTTTTGTAGCCTTCAATAGCCAGGGTAACAGTGAAGGTTGTATGAAATATTGGTTTTTTTTTTTTAATTCAACTTCTTGTGTTAAATCTGCAAAATTCTAGGAATTAGTATAAGACACTTGTCCTAAAGATGAGTTCATTATGCTGGTCTATGTTCAACTGACCCAGTGTGCAGTGGGATCACAGCAGAAAAAAGGCAGGGCCCACTGTCCTCAGCACATGTATGTGCACAGGGATATTGGACAGGGAGTCTGAAATGTCCTCTCGGTGGTCTGACTTTGTAGTTTTTCTCTAGCTGGGAATTTCTTTAGTGGTATGGATGCTGAGACTGACTTGCAACTAATCCACTGTTGCCCCTGGGGCAACACGGTAAAACACTGCAGGACTTGGGGCAGGTCCCCTTTTTTTTTTTTTTTTTATTCATTCAGTTTCTATGTTTTGGTCATTGCCATGATGCAGAGGGGTTTAGTTTGAGGTCAGTGATCTGCGGTCTCCACTCATGCATCTAGTTTGTCATGTGCATTGTCTCTGTCCGGGTGTTTAATTAATAATTGTCCAGTTGACTAAGAAGCACCAAAGAGGAAGCAAAAAAGGCAGTGATTTTCATTGTCTTCTCTACCACTAGAAATAATTTTCTGTCTACCTGTATGATTTTTGATAAGCTGAAAGTTCAAAAAACACAGTCCCACAGTGGGATTAGTAATTTCCCATTTGAACTTCAGCCTTGTCTGGTGTGTGAAATAAAGAATTACGTTTTATCTTAAAGACAGGTATATCACTTGCACTTAACTAGGTTAATTTTAGCCTGATTTACTGACAGATACTTGTCTCAACTGTAGCTTGTGGCAGAGAGAGAACAGGCTGTACTCTACAAGCTAACCTTTTGAAAAGGTATAGCAAATAGTCATTTGAAGGAGGAGTGGTTGCTATCCTAGGGGTAGTCTAGAAAAAAATGAGGTTCCTGCCCTCCTGACCAAAACTCATTGCTTTGTGCGAGTTGGCTGAAATTTGCTGTTAGTTTTCCTTCACTTTAATTAATTTCCCAATTATCTCCCTATGACAATGAGCAACAGGTACCAGAAAGAAAAAGTTTTCTTTCTGGTCTAGATAAGTTGAACCGGAACAAGGACACAGGAGAAAAAGAAGTCTACAGCCTCTGTGAAAGAGATGTTTTCTGTAATGCTTTGCAGCTGCGCAGGAGCCTAACATGGCAGCTGCTCCACATCTGCCCCATGGCAGGTGGGGAAGACACCTCTACAAATAAGGGGTTAGTGCAAATTATTACTGCAATCAACCAACTGCTCTCTCATGACTGTGGAATTGACTGTGTTTATGTCAGTGCAATCAGGATACCCCTCAGAGCAGCATTGTTGCTTTGACTGAAGTAAAGTCCCAGAAAAAGTTCGTGATGATTCTTGAGAACTTTTCTTCCACCTGCAGCAGGAAGGAGGAATGTTTTCTTTTTTCAGCGTCTGCAGTACACAATACCAGATATTAGGCTGAAAGAGCAGCTGTAAAAGTTTGGCTTCTGCTTGAGATGTGCTTTTATCTGGAATGACCTTTAATACCTTATGCAGAGTTAGTGGTTATTTAGCTGAATTGGTCTCTCTGAAACCTTACTGCTGATCATGCTGTTCAAACACAGCTGCGATGGCTGGAGGGCCCCTTACTTCCAAACTGGCATTTGTGTTTGCATGCATATCTTTTCCTCTTTAATTGCTACACCTGTTAAAAAGGTATCATTTGAGGGCAGCAAAAGAAGATTTTGCTTTTACTGGATGAAACTGAAGCTAGGCATTCAGGGATGAGACTTACAGCTGAGCTGCTGCAGTCGTCTTCTGTAAGGAGGAAACTGCAGATTAAACGGTGTGTCTGATCTAATGCAACCACTGCATTCCTCTTGCTGGTCCTCAGCTGGACTTTCAACTGAATTCTGCAGCAGGCAAACATGCACCTGTCTCTTACACACATATATACACGCATGCACATGCACACTTGTTTGTGCATGCTTTCTCTCTCTTTTAATATGATAGTAACTTTAAAAAGTGAACAGGTTTATCAGAAGGATTCTTTTTAGCCCTGTTACAGTGTGTTATAATCAAGCCGGAATTTAGAGGAGACTGTGTCTTTTGACTCCTTGACAAATTCTAAGCTGTTAGTGTTCAGTTGAATGCCTTTTGTAATGGTTTTCATGATTTGTTTTGTTTTAATTAATTTTTGTCTGTTTTAAACCTAAACTTCATGTTTTCACAGGCCTATTTTCGGACAGTAGAACTTGTTCAGGAGTCTATTCCTGGCTCACCAGGTCTGAGTTTCTACTTTAGAATCAATGGTCGACCCATTTTCATCAAGGGCTCGAACTGGATTCCAGCAGATTCTTTCCAGGACAGAGTGACCTATGACATGTAAGCCACATTTGATGTTCTCTAAGGAGAAAGGATGATGTTTTCCTCCTCCTGATGCTCTGTCCACCCTCTGTCAAAGGGTGGCATTGGGAGGTGGAACTCCTTTCAAGGTAGGATACTAATTGTTGCGGATTGGAGGCCTCAGAATTAGGGCTTAATTAATATTGATAATTTGAATGATGTTCAAGGCACGTAAGTGCAATAACTGATGGGAAGGTAGTGGTTTGCTGTCCACAGGTTACTGGCCTTTTGGGTATTTTTAGCGATGATCCTCACTCAGGCTGTCTGATCCTACTGCCTTGGACGTGTTCATTGGTACTCAGAGGAAGTGCACTTCAGCCATGTCCTAACCCATCTCGTGCAGGGAGATATAAGTGCATAGTAGCCTCTCCCTTTTTTCCCCCTCTGGTCCAGGCTTCTTGGATTTCAATGACAACACCCCAGAGGTGCAGGTGGGATGGGGGGGCCACACTGTACTTTGACTAAACTTTGCTCTGGGTAGGTGGGGAACTGGGACAACAGGGCATGCTGCAGTGTGCATTCACATGCAATTTAGAGGCTGCCAGCATGATTAAGGAAAAATTAATGGAGCTTGAATTCCTTAAAATGAGATTCAGAGTTCTTAGCCTTCCTCCTCCCCCTCTCACTCACCCCTCCTTCTCACTATGCATTGTGGAACTCAGGAGGAGAATATAGATTTCTGAACGTGTTTAAAAGAGGATTCGAATTCAAGTGATTGATATTTAAAACAAGTAATATCTAAGGAGAAAAGAGTAACCTGATTAATAAAATACAGTATTTCTAAATCTGGTTCTGCCAATACTTCTGTAAAAGCACTTACTTCCATGTGTCACTCCATCCATTTCATAGGTGTTAACAGGACTAAGTAACTTTTTCTGCACAAAAAAATTGCGTTTTGAGAGCTCTGTCCAGACACGCAGGCTTAGAAGGTATCAAAATAGTCTGGTTTCTATCAGTTATAAGTCTTAGATTGCCTGCTAATGATGAATGTTTGGGCGTGTTTGGGGTTTTGTTTTTTTTTGGTATAACCTTAGAAACTCCTAAGTGATACAGTTTCACAAAACTTGTGTAAATTTTCTTTTTGTATTTGACAGATTGTGGCTACTCTTGAAGTCTGCAGCAGATGCTAACATGAATGCACTTCGGGTTTGGGGAGGAGGAGTATATGAACAAGATGAATTTTATGATATTTGTGATGAACTAGGAATAATGGTAAAAACAATAAACACAGAACACTTATTTAAAAACTGACAAGAACATGTAAATAAAAATCCACTCTAAATGAACAAAATAAGAGGATTAATACATAAGTTCGAGCCATCTTTCCAAAGGACATGGTGGAGTACCAACCGGAGAAGTCAGATCAACTTGATTTTTTTTTTTTTTTAAATTTCTTTTTAGTTTGAACGGTTCCTGATTACTGAGGCTGTCTGTTGAAACTGGAGGTGATATTTTGGAGACTTTGTATTAGAACCCCAGCATGTATTTTCTCTTGTAACTAAGGCTACAACTCTGTTCCTCACTTATCCCCACTTCCCTTCCCAGCCCAGAATCTCCCCTTCATCTCCCCTTCCTTTTCTACCCAGTCTTTTTTCCTCCCTCTCTCTTACATTTCTCAAAATTAGAGCAACAGGATTGTGGCTTTAACTTTCTGTCTTCTAGCTCTTTTCAGACCAAAACTCTCATCATTATATACTGTACCTCTCTCCCTCTAATGCATTTCCTACTCTCTTGGGAAAGAATGAGAGAAGAAATGAATGGCTGAGGGACTGGTACTAGTGATGTCACTTAATGCAGGAAGATGTTTACCCTGTGATGATGAGCATGATAGAAGAACTTTTGTGGACTGTAGGCATCAACAGGGACTTGCAACACTCAGTCAAATAGTTGTGAAACAAGTAGTGCATGTCAGGGGGGTTATTCACAAGATCAAATAATATTTTTTCCACAGCAGCCAGCCCTGTAGCTGTGTTTAGGGCTTACTCATGTGAGAATAGCTCTGCTGAAGAATCTGAGTGCTTGACTACATGCCCCAGATAGAGAGCAAAGGCCTTGCAGTCTGACCTCAATGAGGATTTAAGGCCTGCTGTATTTGAGTTTTGTGATTTCAGCCACCTCTGAGTTATCAAAACACCGAAGAAGGTAGTCATGCTTTTCTCTGCTGTGGAAATGGATTTTATTTCTTTTAAAAGTATTTTCTCCTTTATAGCAATAGCTGAGAAGGTTTGGGGTTTTTTGGTTCAAACTTTTTAAACAAAAATATTTCACTTGGCCTGAAGCCAAACATGGAAGGCCTTATTCAAAGGGCCATTTTGAACAAGCTATAATTGAGTGTAAGTGTAGCTGTAAGGGGAACACCTGCTGCAAGCACTGATAATCCTAGATGAGTGCCTTTGATTATATGAGCTTGGAGGCACATGTTAATAAGTTTTGATGAAATAGTGACTAGATGAGTGAAGGCCAAGTTGCATCTGGTATTAAAATCCCAAGAAGTGTGTTTGGTCTTACTCTACAGCATAAAAAGCAGGGAAACAGAATTGATACCTTCTGCTGTGTGTGCTTGAAAAAAATAAAACTTACATCTATTTTAGTCATCTGAATGAGTGCCCTGATTTTCAGGGCTTCTGAGCACTTACAGTTCTTTCATTTTTGACATGAGGCACCTAAGTAGGCCACTTAGATCGGTGCCCGTACAGTGCTCAGTGCAAGATTTAGATCTTATTTAGCAGCCAAAATAGCAAGTAGATGCAGAAAACCAGACCCTTATTTTGGAGGGGGTGGTGCTGGAGGCTTTTGGTTTTGTTTCTTCTGATGGTCTTGCAAAGGCTTAAAAGTGCATTAGAGTCAAACTGTGCTTAAGGAAAAATGGTGATAGCTCACCGAGGGAAGTAGCGGGAGAAAGTTTCTTTCAATAGAGAGTTTTGACTCTACACAGTCACTGAAGGATTCTGAGTGATTCTTCAGCAATAGCTTTGCTTTTTTTGTGCAGTGCTAGGAGTGTAACAATTATCAATGGATCCATGACCTCCCACTGTCCTGTTTCCTATCTTCAGTTTTTTTAGGGAATGTATGCTGCGAAGAGTCATGGAAAAGCATGTTCTCATACAATTGCATTTTCCTTGCAGTGAGGAGCTGGTCTGTCTCTCTCTGTTGTTTATGTAGTATGGTGTTCAGAAAAGTGCAGTCTCCTACAGGCTCTTTTGGGTTAATGTGCTCCTTGAAGAGATCTTTCCGTTAACATTTGAGATATTCTATCAGGAGTCTCAAAGTTACAGCAATTTAAAAAACAGAACAGGAAAAGCAAGAAATCTTACCCATCTTACTGGGCTTCTTCCTTTCCCCTTTTTTGTAATTCTTCTCCTTCAAGGTGCAAATGGAGTTCATTGTTGAATTGGAAGGCTCGCTGTTCTCTAGTGGTATCTACTTGATCTGTAGATGTGGATCCACTGTGTTGTTAGAGGATCTAGTTTGTTTCTTCCCTTCTCACTGCGTAAGATTTGCTCTTTTTAAGATCAGTTGGCGCATTTGGTATGGAAGTGTTTTGTTAACACGTACACTTGAACATCTGTTAAGTGTGCTCAATACCATGTCAGAAGAATTACTGTCTCTTTTATAAGTAATAGGGATTTGGTGTTACACCTGCAAAGTAGTAAATACAACATTGTTCTGTTCAGCTGGAGATTGCCCCACGTTCACATTTGAGCAGTGCATGGGTCCTAGTTATTCCATTGAAACTTACTGAACTCCATCTACTGAGCAATATTCTACTCATCAGTGAAGGCTGTCAGGATCTGATTCCCAAGGGTAAATATTTTGTAACTCTGATATTGAGGAAAACCACAGAGGAGTGTGCACATACTGAACTCCATGGAGGATGTGATTGTTTTGGTGGTACTTTCCAAGAATAACAAGTAGAACATTTCAGTTTAATTCTTTTTGAGATAAATAACTTCTGTCTGAACAAAGGATTGTGCATCCTAATAACCATATATTTTTCAAGTATGTAAAATTATTTGCTAACAGATTTTTTTTTTTTTCTTTCCTTTTCCCTGTAGATTTGGCAGGATTTTATGTTTGCATGTGCACTATATCCAACTGACCAGAATTATTTAGAATCTGTAAGAGCAGAAGTTTCTCATCAGGTATTTTGTCTGTGTGTCAAAGCTCTATTTCCCATTACCTATTTTTGATTGACTGACTTGTCATGGTTTAACCTCAGTTGGCAACTGAGCACCACGCAGCTGCTCGCTCACTCCCCCTGCCCCCCCGATGGGATGGGGGAGAGAATTGGAAGAGTGAAAGTGAGAAAACTCATGGGTTGAGATAAGAACAGTTTAATAATTGAAATAAAATAAAATACTACTACTAGTAGTAATAATAATAATAATAATATACAAAGCAAGTGATGCATGATGCAATTGCTCACCACCCGCCAACCGAT